GATGTTTGCATTAATGGAATAACCTGATGATACTGTACTGAGTTGCTGAATTTTAGAAATGGAATATTAAATTGGGAGAGCAAACTACCTTAAAAGATTAGAGGGAACAATACCTTGAGCTCAAATAGGGCCAAGAATAATTCCTGCTCCAGGTTAGCCAGAGTGGAAAACGTCATTAATTCTTGGGGTATTGGGTAGTGTACACAGAAGGTTTTGTTCCAGTCGTAGGGCAAAATTAGCTCTAGGGTAATTCTGTTCTGGCACTATGGAACAAAAAGGACTACACTTTCCAAATAACTGCATCCCAGAAGAAAGCTCAAGAATATATATAGGAATACAAACTATCCAGAACCCAGTAGGTCAAAGTCTAGTACCCAGGCATCCATTCAAATTACCAAGCAAGAAGCAGGAAAATATGACTCATAATAAGGAGAAAAAACAAGGAGTAGAAACACACCCAGAAATGACACACGATAGAATTAGTGAACAGATATCTTAAGCAGTTCTATGACTATATTCCATATGTTCAAGAAGCTAGAGAAAAGACTGAGTATGTTAGGGAGAAACATGGAAGATGGAGAAAGATCAAAATCAAACTTATAGAAATTGAAACTACAATGTTTGAGATGAAAGATACCCTGGATGGGATTAATAGCCAGAAGCAACAGCTGGAAAATGTCTAAATTTGATGAAAACTGTAAAATGCCTACATTTAAGAAGCTCAACAAACCCTGAACATAAGAAATATGAAGAAAATTAGAATGAGACAAATTAAAATGGAATTGTCTGAAACCAGCGAGAAAGAGGAAACGTGACAGATAACCAGAGGAAAAGAAAACTACGCACAGAGGAACAAAGATAAGGATGGCAGTGGTCACCACTGTTTCTCATGGGCAACGACTCAAGGCAGAAGATAGTGACACAACATCTTTCACGTACCAAGAGAAGAAAACTCATCTAGAATTAAATACCCACTAAATGTTTGTTTCAAAATGAAGGTGAAATACTCCACAGATATGCAAAAGGTGGGAAGAGAAGATTTATTACCAGCAGACCTGTGTTATAAGAAATGTAAAAAGAAGGAAAATTATACCAAATGGCAGTTTGGATCTATACCAAAAACAAAAACAAACCCACCAGAAATGGCAATTATGTGAGTAAATATAAATTACTTTTATTGTTATTTGTCTCTTTAAAATATACGCTGGATGTTTAAAGCAAAAAAAGGTAACACTCTGTTGTGAGGTAAAAGATAACAAAATGTAGGAGGGAGAAATGTGTTACTGTAGTAAGCCTCTTATACTATATGTGAATGGGCAGAATGCATTTGAACTTTGATGAGGGAAAATGTGTATTATAAACTCTAAGGCAGTCATTAAAATAACATGGTACGTACTTCATTAGCCAACAAAGGACATAAAATGGAATCATAAAAGCAATATAGTTAACCCAGAAGAAAATAGAAAAAGAATAAGCAGATTAAAGAACAAATAGGATGGATAGGAAACATATCAAGATGATTCAGTGATGACGGTAATCACATTGGTGGTAGATTGTGTGAACACCTCAGTTAAAAGGCAAACATTGTCAGGGCACCTGGGTGGCTCAGTCGGTTGAGCGTCCGACTTCGGCTCAGGTCATGATCTCACGACTCGGGAGTTCGAGCCCCGCGTTGGGCTCTGTGCTGACAGCTTGGAGCCTGCTTCGGATTCTGTGTCTCCCTCTCTCTCTGCCCCTAACCCACTCTGTCTCAAAAATAAACATTAAAAAAAAAAAAAAAAAAAAGCAAACATTGTCAAATTGGATTAAAAAACAAAACAAAACAACCCCCAAAAAACAAGACCCTACAAGAAATCTACTTTCAGTGTAAAAGACAAATAGGTTAAAAGTGAAAGGATGGGGTAAGATATACCATGCTGATACTAATGGAAAGCCTCTTGAAGTGGCAATATAAATATCAGACTAAGTTGATTTCAGAGCAAAAAACCTACCAGGAATAAAGAGGATTGTTTTATAATGAAAAAGAGATTAATTCATTAAGAACATAACAATCCTAAACATTCATATATTGAATAACAACTTCAAAATTCTTCTTTTTAATGTTTGTTTATTTTTGATAGAGAATCAGAGCTTGAGTGGGGGAGGGGCAGAGAGAGAGAGAGAGGGAGAGGGAGAGAGGGAGAGAGGGAGAGAGAGAGAATCCAAAGCAGGCTCCAAGGTGTGAACTGTCAGCACAGAGCCTGAACCGGGGCTTGAACTCAAGAACCGGGAGATCATGACCTGAGCCAAACCAAGAGACACACACTTAACTAACTGAGCCACCTAGGCACACCACAACTTCAAAATTCTTAAAGCAAAATTGAAGGAACTGCAAAGAGTAATTGACATGTTCACACTTAACAGAATTTTCAACATCCCTTTTCAATAATTGAATAGAAAGAAAACCAATAGGATATGGGTGGCTTGAACAGCAATGTTGAACAAATTATTCTGAACATTTAGTGAATGCCCCACCCAACAATAGCAGAATACACATTATTTTGAAATGAGAACAAGTCTCAGTAAATTTAAAAGGATTCTGGTGAGACCAGGTATGTTCCTTGACCATGGTGGAGAGTTAATTTGGAAACCAGTAACAGTACATAGCTAGGAAACCTCTAAATATGAGGAAACCAACAAGCTTCTAATTTATCCTTCTTATAAAGAAATGATCAAATGGGAAATTGCAAAGTATTGTGAACTGAATGATATTTAGAACACATATCAAAATTTGGGATGCTACCAAAGAGGAAAATAAAGAGAAATTCATAACATTAGTTATCTTAGAAAAAAGGAAAGGTCTCAATTCAATGACTGGCTTCTACTTTAAGAAACTAGAAGAAAAAGAGCAAATTAAAGACATAGTAATTGGAAGAAGGTAAATAATAAAGGGTGGAAATTAACAAAATTGAAAATAGAAAAACCATAGAAAGATAAACCTAGTTTTTAGAAGATCAAAGTGACAAATCTACCCAGAATGACCAGGTTAAAAAGAGCAAAGGGCACAGAGTACCAATGTCAGTAATAGGAGAGGTGCCATCACTTCAGATGTTAAAGATATTGAAAAGATAATAAATACTATAAAAAGAAATACCATACTATAAAGAAACTTTATACCAATAAATTCAACAAGTTAGATGAAATGGACATTTCTTAAAAGGTGCACAAAATATCAAAACTCATGAAAAAAATAGATAACATGAATAGTACTGTATCTATAAAATAAATTCAACTGGTTATAAAAACCTTCCCTCGGAGAAAACCTCAGGTCCAGATGGATTCATCGGTAAATTATACCAAACTGATTTTGCTGAAAGTATTCCAGAATATTGAAGATGAGAGAATTCTTTCCAACTCCTTATATGAAGCCAGCATTACTCTGGCTTACCAAAGCCAGACAAAAATTTACGAATACTACAGTCCAATAATTCTTGCAAACATGTATGTAAAAATTCTTAAAATTTTAGTAAATAGAATTTAACAATATATGAAAAGGACAGTGCATCATCACTCAGGTGGGGTCTATTCCAGAAACGCAGTGTTGATTTAACAAAGATGAATCAACACAGTTCACCAGATTAACAGACTAATGTGGAAAGATTATGATCTCAGTAGATGCAGAACAAAAAAAAGATTTGAGAAAATTCAACACACTGTTAAAAACTCTTTACAAATGGAATAGCAAAAACTTTGTTAACACGCTAAAAGGCATCTTCAGTGAAACCCTACAACTAATAGTGTGCTTAATGGTGAAGGACTGAATGCTGCTGTCACTGCACTGAATGGTCTACGCAGTGAGGTGAGGCCAGAAAAAGAACTGAAAGGCATCCGTATCAGAAAGCAACCAAGTTGTCTTTGTTAGTAAATGACATGATCGTTCATCTAGAAAAGCCTATGGAATTTACAAAAGAACATCCAGATAAGCGAGTTTAACAATTTCCAGGGTATAACACAAATATTCAAAAATCATGTTCCCATTTTTGTAGAGAAGAATATCCATCGTTGAAAAGAGACCAGAAGAGATAGGTTCCTTAATCTATCCCTTTCCCCAGTTGACATTTTCTAACTTTCTGCAAGTGTTTACTTTTGTGGCAAAGACAGCAACAGAAGTCATTCTTTTAGAAAGATCTTTTTCATTGACACTATGTAAATGTAATTTAGTTTAACAGTTTTAGTAAATATCACTACTTCAACCTTTTACACTGAAAATGTGTAGGATAATATATATTCATTTTATGTTTCTGACGGGCCTACCATTTTAGGTCATCAGCTCTGCCACACTTCTTGTCTCAATATAACAAAGGCGTTGTGATCATAATCATTATTCATTTTTTCTCACATTTATTGAGTGTCTCCTATGTACCAGGTATTAGGGAGTTTTGAGATGAGGAAGACCCACAGTCTCTTGAGGCTTCCGTCCTCTTCATCCTCAGCTCTTTGTGATAGTTTTCTCTCTTGCCTTGTTGTGTTTAAGCTTTTCTAGACTTCCTTTAGTTCTTGGAACTTGGGACACCACCCGTCCGTGGCCCTCACACAGGCCCTTTCTTTTGTCAGGGATACTCTCTTACCCCACCCTTAACTAACTCCTTGCTCTTTATTTGGTTCTTAGTTTAAATGTCATTCCTCGGGGAAACTTTCCCTGATCTGCCCAGCAGGGTTATAGACTCTACTAGCACCTTGTACTTTTTCTTACCAGAATTATCATCATTGTATTTAATACTTTGAGTAATCACCAGACTGGAATCTTGTTGCATGGTAATATTTCGTCACAAGTATGTTCTTCTGGGTTGTTCTTCAGGGCTGAGCTTCAATATGTGTTGACTTTTAAGTCTGTTGGTTTATCTTAAGACAAATCAGCTTGGCCTCTGGCTAGATTAGGAGAGCAGTCTGTGGCCATAGGGTTAGATGGAGCAGATCTGATTTTTAATTCTGTACCTCAGATACAACTCTTGGAATTTCAGGTAACACAGGAAGAAGGACAACAGTTAGCACGACAGCTTAAGGTAACATACATGGAGGCGTCAGCAAAGATTAGGATGAATGTAGATCAAGCTTTCCATGAACTTGTCCGGGTTATAAGGTAAGTGAAACACATCTACGATGTGTTTGTTTGTTTTAACTTATAGAATTTTACAGGTAACCACACTGCTTTTTAAAACCACCAAGTAAAGAAATTACCATTAAATGTTTTTAGCAAGAAACAGGAAATTATATGTATAAATGCTTCTGTGCACATGACAGGTTAAAAATTTTAATTAAGTACATATTGTATACTAGGAACTTGCTACAATAAAGCCAGATTTAATTATATTGAAGTAGAGAGTACACACAGGGATTTAAAAAAAATTGCACACACAACCTATACCACTTCCAGTGGTATCAGTGGTACGAAGGTAGGGATGACAACAGCTAACGTTTGAGTGGAGATCTCTGCCAGATACTGTGTCTGATGCTTTACATGTGTTACCACATTTAAATTTCAACACGACCCAGTAAGCGAAATACTTTCATTTATCCCCACTTTTGGATGGGAGAGCAGGTATAGAGAGGTTAGCTAACTTATTCAGAGTTTCAGCTTTAAATGGCAGGGCTGGGACTTGAATCTGTGTCTCTGATTCCAGAGCCTGTGTTCTTAGGCTTTGCTTTTTCCCCACCTCCTCCCAGGCTGTGGGAGCCAGGTAGTAGAGATGCGGTGCTCCAGGTGCTCCCATTCGTGGTGTGAAGTATGATATCCCTCATAACAAAGGGTTTTTCTGTTCTGCTGGCCTAGAAGGCCCCTGCGCTTCAGAAAGTGTTAATGGTTCCAGGAAGCTTGAGGTGAAGGGCAGGTGGCCTGGAGTTAGTTTCTGTGTGAGAAAGATTGAGTTTCCGTATAGTGGGAGGGGTTTGATTTGATTATTTTTAATCTTGGTGGCTTGGCGCCTCCTTCCCCGTGGGCTCTCTCTAGATCTGCGGGTCTCTCTGCTTGACAGAAACGTGGAGCTATGGGCTTCCTGTACTTTTTTTAACCCCTTGCCTGGGCATTCTCTTTGTGGGGAAAGGAAAGTAAAGATTATAGTTTTTAATTTTTTTAGTGGTTTGTTAAAAGTGCAAGTTCCATTATTTTTGAATGAAAACAGAATTTCAGTTTTGCAAGATGTAAACAGTTATGGAGGTGGATGGTGGTAGTAGTAACACTGTGAATATATTTAACACCACTGGACTGTATGCTTAAGAATGGTTAAGATGTCAAGTTCTGTTATGTATTTTAACACGTGTGCATGCGCACACAAACCGATACCTTCTTAAAATAACGTTTACTGCCTTTTGAATGCTTTGTCCTTGGTTTTCATCCTCAGAATCTATATCCAAATCCATCATTTAATCTGGAGAAGTGGGTAGAGGCGGCAATTAACAAAATTACTTTAATTTTACTTTTATTTTACGTAGGCTTCACAGCCAACAGGGGCTTGAACTCATGATCCTGAGATCAAGAGTTACATGCTTTCCTCACTGAGCTAGCCAGTGCCCCTAGGGAAGGCTTTTTTATGCCAGCCACTGATAGGCCTTTAAACGTAACAAGATCACGTTGAAACCTCTAGCAACTGTGAAAGGTAGAGTTTTATTATTCTCTTTGAAAAAACCGAGGTTCACAGAGGTCGGCTAACTTGTCCAGTGCTGACTTGTAGCTAGTAAGTGGCAAAACAGGAATAGAAACTGTGTACCTTGTATGGGTATGTACTTTATATTTTACTCTAGCAATGGTTGCTTTTTTTTTTTTAATGTTTATTTTGGGAGAGAGAGCGCTAGCAGGGGAGAGGGGCAGGACGAGGCAGAATGAATCCTAAGCGGACTTGATGTAGGGCTCCATCTCAGACTGGGAGATCATGATCTGAGGCTAAACCAAGAGTAAGATGCTTGACTCACTGAACCACCCAAGCGCCCCTGGATGTCTGTTCTTAAGTATACCTTACTGTTAATGGAGTTACAAAGTGGGAAGGGAACTTAGAGGTCATTGAGTTCAGTATCTCATCTGATTCCAGACTCACCTATGAGTGGAGCTCCGATAGCTCTGCTTTATGCTGGTGTTGAAACACTTGTGCCTCTTCCCCCGAGATTTGCTTCGATTCCCTAGGTGAAATTCAACATTGAGAAGCATATGCACATAAACTAGACTTGTCCAAAAAGAATATATTTGTAATAATATGTTACCAGCACGGTAGATTTTGATATAGATTTTTCTGTCTTACAGGAAATTTCAAGAGCAGGAATGTCCTCCTTCACCAGAACCAACACGGAAAGAAAAAGACAAGAAAGGCTGCCATTGTGTCATTTTCTAAGAATCCCTTGAATTTTAGCTACCAACTGCCAGGAAAAGCCCTCATCGTCTCCTCCTCTCCTTATGGTTTACATCACATCGTGTTGGTACCTTTCTAGCCTTAGACACAAATGATCACCGTGGTAGCCTTAGACCAAGAAGCTGGCTAATCCTTTCCGTGAAGCTAATCCTATGGTCATTTCAAGACACATTTAAAGGAAACACTAAGGCTGCTTCAAAGATTATCTGATTTCTTAAAAATAATGATCTATATACATAGACATATTCTTTTTTAAGGGCTTACATTTTAATAGGGATGAATCAGTTTTGGAACCTAAGCTGTTTGCCAAGCTGAAGTCATAGGTTGTGAAATTAACTTTTAACTTCTGGAATCATATTGCCTATTGTTACCCTAAATAGAAACATGAGTTGTTTTTAAATGTGAATTTTTGCCTATCTCTAAAAATTTTGATGTCAACTTTAGTTAACCTTAAGTACACTGAATTGAATCCACAGAAGTGAGACATCTCAGACCTTTGCTGATGCTACAGCCTTTGTTTTCCAGTGGCCAAAACACCAAAATGCCTGTTATGTTTATAGATTAAAAACTGCATATAAAGCCTTTATTACAGCTCCACTCCTAAAGATGATAATAATGTTCTTTGTGGCCAAATATTTGGACTTATTCTGCATTTAGGCATTTCAATGTTCTTGGCTTTTTAAGTTAACTCTTTTCACAGCCATGTTGAGAAGTAAAAATAAATAATTTCTGTCTGTCTTCCTTTTCAAGTATTTCTGGATAAGGGATTCAAAAAAAACTAAAACTGTTTTTGTTTGTAATATAAAATATGGAATTGATCTTTCCGGGGTCAGAGATGATTAATGTTTTTGCTATATACTTTTATACATTATTTTCTTATCAAACTAGTTAACAAGTATTTTTATATGTTTGTAAGCAAATATGCTTTCACAGCATACCTTGTGTATATGTAAAGATAAGTATTTAATTCTCACTGTTCACTTTTAACTGACAAAGAAAAAAAGTGAAAACTACAGAAACTGTGGTAGAGCTGTCCTTGCCATCCCGGTCCTGGTCCTGGTGGCTCCCGCCTTTGGCCAGTCACACACCTGCTTGAGAAACCTCCTCCGTAGACGACAACAGGGTGAGAATCTGAAGTCACTTGTGATGTCCCGTACTAGGTATTGACTGTTCTATCAAGTAGTAAGTGTAAAACTTCTCTTTGACGATTAGTATAACTGTGGATGGCTTCTGATTTTTGTTTTTAATTTTGTGGATTGTGTTTCAACAATTCAGAAGTATGTTCCTGATGGTGAGATACTAAGTGGTATTGCACGGTTGTCACTTTATTGAATGTGTACAACAGCCCCGTGAAGTTGATAAAGCGTACCCTTGTATAGCTTCAGGTGCTAGAATTAAAACTGATCTGTTATCACAAGAGAAGGTTTGATGACTTGTTATTTGGGTGGTTTCTCAAAGGAATGAGTGTTGGAAGAAACTTATTTTAGTAGCTAGCCCTGTGCCTTTTCCCAACAGTGCCCTAGGGTTTGAATCTAAAAATCAATATTGGTTATCTGGCAGGTGAACTTGAAGTGAAATGGCTTGGTGTTCTTAGGGGTTTCCTGACTATTAAGTCAGCATTTCTTAAACTTTTTCTATGAAGTGCTCCTGACAGAAACCCCTATATCTAAAGGAGATACCGCTGAAGACAAAGCCTAAAGCAGCTGAGGAAAAGCGCATACATTTATTTGAATACTAATTAAAATTACTGCCCAGGAAGGGCCCATATTTATCCTGTGGGTTTTGGTATTAGAGCACCATCGCATGTCTTTTTTAGGGCTTTCAGTTGGGATTTTTTACAATGTTTATTTCTTTTTATTTTGAGAGAGAGAGAGAGAGAGAGAGAGAGAGAGAGAGAGAGAGAGAAAATGTGTGTGCACATGTGTATGAGCTGGGGGAGGGGCAGAGAGAATCCCTAGCAGGCTCCGTGATGTCGGCACAGAGCCCCATGAGGGGCTCAGTCTCACAACTGTGAGACCATGATCTGAGCTGAAATCAAGAGTTGGACACTTAACTGACTGAAACACCCAGGCGCCTTGGGAAAAATGTAAAGTTATCATAGGTAACCTCAGATAACAAGAGATTATCTACATAATAGGCAGATTTAATGGAGAACATTTTATTCTGAATAGATGATTTGTAGCAACACAGTTTGAAGGTTAAATTTATATCAGTTAACTTTTTTCCCCCTCTCTGTGCTTCACTTTGAATACTTTTTATTGCTACACCTTCAGGTTCCCTAATGTTTTCTTCCCCAGTTATTTAATCTGCTATTAATCACATTGAATGAATTTTTTATTTTAGACCTTGTGTTTTCTTTTCTCTTTCCTGTAGAGGTTCTATTTGGTTCTTTTTTACATCATCCATTTCTCCCATTATGCTCATGTATTTCTCTTACCCAGCCCCTCTCAACTGAGTTTCGAGAGAATTGAGCCTAATGCCTGTCTGTGGTGTGCAATGAATTAACTTCTCTTCAGTGCATCTAGAGTGGTTCTAGCTGTGTACCATCCTTGGGAGAATTGAAAAAGGCTGCTTTGAATATTTGAACATGGTTTTTATGGCTCTTTTAAAGTCCTTGTCTGTGGAACTCATTTATCTGTATAATTTTTGGATCTGTTTCTATTGACTGACACAATTTTCTCTAGTTATGGGTCACATTCTTCTGCCTTTTTATTTATTTATTTATTTATTTGCACATCTAGTAAGTTTTGATTGGATGCTAGACATTGTGTATTTTATGTTGTTGGGTGCCTAGATCTTGTCTTCATTTAAAGATTTTTTTTCCCATGGTAATTAATTTACTTGTAGTTCAGTTTAATCCTTTCAGGTCTTTTACATTTTATATAGTCTCAAGTATCTTTTTTTTCCCCCCAGGATGGTTTAGCTCTACTACTAAGGTGTGGCCCTTTTGGTGTCTCTACTGAATGCCCTGCATAATCAGTGATGACTCTCTGATTCGGCTAATGGAAACTGAAAAGTTCCCAGCCTTTGTGAGCTCTGGGGAACCATACTGTCTATAGCTCCTGGGTCATTCTTTGCCCAGCTCCTGGAGTTTCATCCTGTACATGCATATCTTAGTATCAAGCAGAGACTTGGTGACCCCGGGCATATTTTTGGAGTTCTTTTTTCTGTGTAGCTGCCTCCCCTCCAGAACTTTGTCCTGCAACTTTCACCTGCCTCAAGTTCCTGGTGTCTGGGACAGATCGATCTCCAGTGTCTTTTCAGCTTAGGAAAACAATTATGTCCTGCTTAGAATCCCCCATCCCCTCTAGAATCTGGAATGTGCCTCTAGGCAGAAAGTTAGGGCAATCTTAAGGCTTACCTTTTTGATTCCCCACCATCAGAGATGGTAGTCCTGTGCTTCCTGGTGTAGAATGGCTGAAAACAGGTGTTTCACATATTAACTCCAGTTTTTTGATTGTCTACGGTAGGAGGGTAAATCTGGCTACTGCTACTTCTCTATCAGAAGCCAGAGTCTCTCCCATTTAATATCCATCATACAGTCAGAGGTGCCTTGTAGGTCTTAATCTAATTTCAAATCTTTTTTCGCAAAGAATGGCCAGTCTCATGGCATGAAGAAGTCTTTGCCTGTGGGACCATTTTTTTATTCTATAGCTGGAGGATTGGCAGACTTGTTTTGTAACAGGCCATACAGTTAATATAAATATCATCTTAGGTTTTGTGGGCCATATGGTCTCTGTCCCAGCTACTCATGTCTGCCATTGTAGCACCAAGGCAGCCATAAACAATCTATGAACAAATGAATGTGGCTGTGTTCCAATAAAACTTTATGTGGGGACACTAAAATTTATATTTCATATCATTTTCATGTCATGAAATATTAATTGTCTTTTGAATTAAAAAAATTCATTTAAAATTATAAAAACCATTCTGTACAAAAACAGATGGCAGATTGGATTTGATCTGTGGGCCACGTTTTGCCAATCTTGCTCTATAGCACATTTGTCATTTGAGGTTACATTCCCAACTTTAGAACCTCTTCTCTCTATATATGTGAAAATTCTTTCAAACAGGATTTCCTGAATTGATAATCATGAATTTAATTTTGTCTTTACATTTGTTTAGGGATTTACAGTATTTCAGGATTGGACATTATGCCCTGTTGGCATACATCTTACATTGATGATTCCTCTAAATTTGGGGCCTCAAAGGTTTGTAATATAAATTGGTTCCTTAAGCATTTGACTTAAAAAAAAAAATGTTTATTTTCAGAGAGACAGTGAGAGGGAGGGAGGAGAGAGAAGGGAAGAAAGAATCCCAAGCAGGTTCCACGCTTTGTGCAGAGCCTGACAGTGGTGCTCGATCTTAGGACTGTGAGATCATGAACTGAAATTAAGAGTTGGATGCTCAACCGACTGAGGCGCCCTGGGGCCCCTATCATTTGACTTAAAAAATTTGCTATAATGAGGTTGTATATACTTCAGGTCTAGCTTGTTCCTCTTCTGACTTTTCATCACCACTAATCTTAATTTTATTTCTTTTCCCATTCCCGTACATAAAGATCCCATTAAACAGATAACTGGAAGATAATAGGAGATGATAAAGTGGTTACTTTCAGTACCGCTTGACCACTTAAGAGTATTTAACCAGTAACTGCACGGAAAGCTTCAAGGAACTTTTTAGAAACAAGGTATTTTAAGTTGAACAAATGTCTTTGTGCAAGGCTCATTAGCTGTTCTGGGGGAAATAGATACATGTGGAGCTTTTCCTTCCTACAAACTATTTGGTATCTAGTGGAGAAGGATTATGAGTGAGAAAACAAATGCCAGGGCTGCAGTGTAGGCAGAATAAGTGTGCACAAAGCTGTCCGGTCCAGCAGATGGTATATGTTCTTTCTGGAAAATCTGAGGGAGCCTCTTAGTTAGAAGTGGTGCTTTAGCCAGAGCTTGATGGATTGGTGGGATTTGAGATGGGGAGGAGAGGAGAGGAGTGAGGTGGTGGAAAGGCTGGGGAAAAGCCTAGGCAAAGACACATTTTGGCAGAATGCAGGGAGTATTCTGGGATTGGAACCTTAATCTAAAAGGATTTGAAGTGCAGTGGGGAAAAATAATGATAAAGTAGACTGGGCTCGGGTTGTGGAGAGCTTTAAATAGGATGGCCCTTCTGTAGGTAATGGGGAACTGCCAAGGATTCTGAACAGGGAGTGGCTGGATCGGGTGGGAATATGAATGATGGAGAAGTGCAGGTTTAGGGAAGAGTGGTCAGGTAAGAGGTAATTGGAGTCATGAAATCTGTCTCTTGCCAATTTGTTCTGCCATCCATGTTATTGCAATGGCCTTTGAAGTCTTTTTATTTGCATTTTGCCCCCACAAAGCTGTTCTGTAAATACAGGCCATAAATTACATGTTCCACTGCTGCTTAAAATCTGTCATCACCTCAATGCACTTGGACCAGTATCCAAATTCCTTACCATAGTGCACAGAGACAGCCCCTTGCAGGATCTGTCATCTCCTTGCTTCTCACATTCAGGCTGATTTGCTTTTTTACACTCTATAGGATGCTAGTATTTCCCAGACCGTTGATTCACTTGACTGTTCCAATTAGCTGTTTCATTCTTTTGCTTTTAATTTAGATGCCACCTGCTCAGAGAGCTCTCTTTGACCACATTGCCCTGTATTTACTTAGTGACACGGAGGCATCTGTGAGTATTTTGTCTGTCTTGTCTCATCTGCACTTGGGTGTCACAGGCTCCGAGAGGGCAGAACCATGTGTGCCACGTACACAGCTTTACCCCCCTTGCCTGGCATTTGCAGAAAAACCATTTGATCAATGAAGAGGACACACGGGCAACCCTCTGGTGATAGAAATGTATGGTGATTGTGGCGGTTATGTACAGGGGTTAGTCCCGGAGGCATTTGGGAATGGGGATTGGAGCTGCAGAAAGAGGCTAGGACTGCAAGTGCAGATTTGGAATTTATCTGTTATGAGCTGATGTGTGAACAGGCGGGAGTGGATGGAAGTAGAGTTTCAGAGAAGATCCAAGGGTAAAACTTCCAGGGGGAAAACGAACACTTGGGGATAAAAGCTTAAAAGTCAGCAAAAACCCGAGAGAAGCAGTCAGAAACTGGAGAGAACCAGGAGATTATTGTCAAAGAAGCCAAAGGGGTGGCCAGAGCGGAGGGCTGTAAAAGACTGGGGTGGTGGCGGAGGGGGGGAGGTGCAGAAGGGTAAGAGGCAGTGTGGTTGCGTAGATGCTTGCTGGTAACTTGGAAGGTTTTGTGTCCGTCATCTGGCAGGAACCAGATTATAGTGGTCGTGGTGTGATTGGAGTGCAAGGAAGTGGAAGACGTGTGGGCTACCATTCTGGGAAGTTCTGTGGCAAAATCAGAGGGTGATGGGGCTGTTCTCTTCCTTGAT